GTCATTCACCTTCTAAAAAATGCCACATGATAGACAATTTTTTGGAGACATGATGGCAATTTTTTGGAGATGGCAGTATTATATGTTTGAAAATGCAATGTTTTTGACATTTGTGAGAAATGATGACATTTTTATGACATGAGAATGTCATATTTTTTATCTGAAAATGTCATGTTGTAAATTTGTAATCTCAAAATGACATGTTTTGCATCTAAAAATGTCACGTTTTTGTCTTTGAAAATGTCATGTTGTAATCTCAAAATGACATGTTTCTGCATCTAAAAATGACATGTTTTTGTCTTGGATGTTATGTGATGACAATTTCACCTGAAATTGATAACTTGCTCTCCAGAGGAGGTAGCCCCAACAAGAAAGATGTCGACACCTCCAGGGAAGAACTTAACAGTGACGGATGACACCGTAACACTATTCTCACCGGAGGGAGAGGATAACACCGGCGGTCTTGTCGGTGGAAGCAGCAGCGACCTCGCCGGTAAGTGGCGGCGACGATCTTGGTGGCGATGAATGGCGTAGAGGAGAGTATTATTGGTGGCGATGACGGTCTGGAGAGGTCTTGCTGCAAATAGTCGGTGGAGGTGCAGCGATCATGGCCCTATCGAATATGTTTTTGTTTTTGTTTCATTAAGGGTAATTTTGTCCATCGGTACAATTTTGGTCCTATTTTGATCAATAAAACATGACTGTCTTATTTGTGCAATTTTACTCTATTTTAGTCCCATTTAGGAAAATCTCTCCTAAATATTTCATTTCATGAAAAAGGATTCTCTCGCTATATACTCCCTCCGTCCCGTTGGAATGTTCCCGCTTTCCTTTTTTGGATGTCTCATTGGAAAGTTTCCATTTCCCTAAATGGAAAGTTATCCTACATCAAAACAGGATCAAACAGTGCAAAACAGTGTCAAACCGTGTCGAAACAATGTCAAAACAGCAAAATTTATCCCCTGGTAAGTTTATTTCCTTAATATGTGTGTAGGTCAAACCGGGAACATTCCAACGGGACGGATGGAGTATTTCACTTCATGAAAAAGCTGACTAAGTCTGTAACTCTAATAGGCAAAGGAAAGAGAGGATGCAGTGAACCTCCAAATAAAGGTACATGTCTATTTTCGTATAAAGATACTCTATATTTATAGTTTATAAAGATTTAAGAGAAAAAACAATTGGGTGCATGTTTTTTTCTAAAAATATCATCTACACAAACATAACAAACAAGTGGGTGCATGTTTTTTTCTAAAAATATCATCTACACAAACATAACAGATAACTTAGATCTTGGTATGGTTTCTCAAATATCAGGTTATGCATTTGTCTCAGAAATATACACTGAAACTATTGATATCATGATGTGTACATGTTCAAGACAACAAAACTTTCTTTTCGTTTTTATTCGAATTAGAATTTATATTTTAGAAAATGGAAATAGACCAAATTGGAAAGTAGTAGAAGAATGCCGTGTGTAATTATTTTACAAGAATATTGTAGAATAATGACTGATTAAAAAATGTTGTGTTGATATTAATTTTAAAAAATCATTTCGAACAAAATAGCAAAAAAGAATTGATAGCACATTTTATAAAGTTTTAATGAAGATTTGTGAACACATTTTTCAAAATTTTTAGCAACGCTTTTGATCCTTTCTTTTTTAATCCTGTATAATTTCTAAAAAATGCATTTTCATGTTTCACATTCTGCAAAATTTCAGCTAAATTTCAGCTTCATGAGTCTTCTGCAAAATCATCGAATAATTATAAGCATATCGGATCATCGATACTTATCTTCTAATTTGAATCTTCTAAGTTTGATAACATGTGCAGCGTTAATATTGTGACACGGTTCACAGAATCCACAATCTGCATTATAATAAAAAGATGTATCAACAATATATAATGTATGGCTTATACATTTGATGGGTTAAGATAATATATTTAATATAATTAAGTCCGTTCAAAAAAAAGTATTTTCACAAAAAAAATCAGGAGTCATATGCAACCAAAACACATGGACTTGAGTAGTAAGTGTTTGAAAAAAAAAATCACTTTAAAAATAACTCATTAAAAGTAGTTTTGTTGCATTTAATTTTTCAAAAAATGTTTGAGAAAGAAAACGCACGAAATATTAAGAAATGAAAGTTTTACATAATAGATACTATGGCAGAGGACATATTCTATCGCATGCATATTTTCAAAAAAATCTATTTACATAACTGTTTTAAAACTGTGAGAAATACAGAATAAAACTGTGAAATTGAAAGATTTCAAGATGTTTTGAAATGTATTTTCCTGTTTTCTAAACAAATAGTATTGAAAATAATACTAATCATAATAGCTAATTACTTAGATGTTGTTTCATCCTTGAGCTCTATTAAGATAGTAATTAAAAGCAGGACACCTGCAAATGACATTTGATAATAATTACAAAACAACAAAAGGTTAAACAAAGTACATAATTATTTACTAATAATTTGTTCATAACAAAAGGATTTATTATGTGATGATCAGGTCAGCCCAACACAAACTTACTGGCCATGTTTACTATTATTTTGAATGGGCCATATCAAATAAATAAGAGACTAAATAATTGAGTCACGTCCAACTACACAATCTGTCTACTTTTAATGTAACAAAAGGAAGGACAACATAGATAATCTTCCTCAATCAAGGACGGAACACAAATCTACGAAAGCGAAGAATTGCCAACATCATACCTATACGAGATAACGTGGTGGGAGGATGAAACCAACTCAGTCGATGACGGCTAGAAGTTGTCTGGAAAGTGAAGGAAAACCGTTTCTAAATTGATTTCCAGTGTAAAGACAGTCCTTACAAATCAAAGATACAGATATGTGTGTGTGTGTGTGTGATTTCTACCAATTATACTGATTTATATAAAAAAAATCATGGTTCCGTATGAATTTAACAAAATACTAAAAGAATTATTGGAGTATTAACAACTTACCCTTTAGAATTGTAGTTCTAAACGGCAAATTAGTAAACTCTGTAGCCAATAAATTCACAAATCTGTAACTCAGAGACAAGAAATTATCGGCTCAATTCTGTAAAATTCTCAAACATAAAATCAATGAATTATAGTCCCATTTTAGTAAGAAAAGACAGAAAAGGCATACCATGATATTCAAGCAAAGTGGGTCATCATCAACCGCAAGAACTTTCATTCCAACATGGAAGTTGTCATAGAGATAGACACAATCGAGAGAGAGCAGCGGCGGAAGAGACAATCGAGACAGAAGCGTTGAATTTCGAGAGAGAGAGAGAGAGAGAGAGAGAGAGAGAGAGAGAGAGAGAGAGAGAGAGAGAGAGAGAGAGTTGAGAGAGAGAGAGCAGCGGCAGAAGATGAATCGCTGCAATTGGGAGATCTAGAAGTTTTCCTTCGATTATACACAATCGAGTGAGAGCAGCGGCTAATTAGGTCATGTAATTAGGTGTGTGGGCTGGCTTGTTTTGAAAGAGAATTCTTAACATATACTTGGCCCATTAACCATTTGTGACAGCCTATTTTAGAGCCAGTTTGGTATCACGAAAATCAGCTGATTTAGCTGATTCTGCTGAAATTTATGAACTTTTAGTTGAAGTGGCTGCATTGGTTGATTCTGCTGATTTAAGATAAAATTATTTTTATGCTATATATTTTATTAATAAAATAATTAAAAAATTATATGTAAAATATCTAAAATGGTCATATATAGAAACTTCAGTTAAAACAGTCAGAAAAATAACTCCAACCTTACTTTTTTTGCTTATTACACAATTCAGCACGTGTTTGGTTAAAAAGATAGCTGATAAGCCTAAAAGCCACTTATTGCAAGATATTTTTTGATAAATATACAAGGTAATTTTATTTATAGAAAAAAATGACATTTTTAACTATAGCAGAGAAAAAATCCAAGTTACATATTACTTATAATATACAAGAAAATACACAACATTTTTTATGTATAAAAATTGAAGTTTTTAAAATTAGATTGAACTTTTTTATAGAAGTACATTTTCCCTGAAGGTATAAAAATTGTGTGTCTATTGAAATACCAGAAGATTTTCTTTTACACACTTCAGGAGATCCAATAGAAAAAATTGTTGAGAGCACTTATCCAGAATATCCAAATAGGACGATTTCAGTTATTTTCGAGATAGAGCTATTTTAGCCCCAACATTAAGCGTTGTGGATGAAATAAATGACTATATGATTTCTTTAAACACTTCACAGCCTTCAAGAACATACTTCAGTTCTGATAGTATTTGTAAATCAGATTCTAATGTTGATCTTTTAGCGGATTTAAATACACCGGAATTCTTAAATAATGTCCGTATCTCAGGTGTGCCCAATCATGAACTCACATTGAAAGTTGGAACTCCAGTCATGCTTTTGCGTAACATTAATCATTCCATGGGGCTATGCAATAAAACGAGACTGATTATTACAAAACTTGGTGACCACATATTGGAGGCAAAGGTTTTGACAGGAAGAAGTATGGGGCAACAAGTATTGATTCCGAGATTGTCATTGACTCCTTCGGATGTGAGACTTCCTTTTAAATTTCAAAGAAGACAATTCACGATTATGGTTGCTTATGCTATGACTATAAATAAAAGTCAAGGGCAATCTCTTTCGCATGTTGGTTTATTGTTAAAGAAGCCGGTTTTTTGTCATGGACAGTTGTATGTAGCAGTTTCCAGAGTCACGAGTCCAAAAGGATTGAAGATTTTAATCATAGGTGATAATAATGAAAGCACAAACAAGACCACTAATGTCGTATATAAAGAAGTATTTCAGAATGTATGATTTGTATGCATACTTAATTGTGGTTATCACAAAAAAAAATTGTTGCTATAATGTTTTGTTAAGTGTGGGAATGAGATCTTCTTTTATTATCGTGACTTTTTTCCCTACTCTTCTTCACTATTTTTGCGTGCGTATTAATATAATTATACTACAATTAGATTTTGAATTTTTCTATCGTTATCCGAGAAAATTGTTTATTTATATCATATGAAAATTTTCGTGTTACACTTATACAAAATTTCCCCCGTGCAACGCACGGGTGAAATACTAATTATTTTGAAAAACCCATATACATATCTCATTTGAGAATTAAAGAATAACACTATTGGATAAAGCTGGAATACCCCAAGGTGAAGATGAACTGGGCAGTGGCTAGACAAAATGGGAAATCAGCAGCAGGTTTTTTGTTGCGAGATCATTCCGGTGCGATGGTAGCGGCGGAGGGCTTCCCTTTGAGCGGATCGCCGGAGGGAGATGAGGAGGTTTGTCTGAAGGCGATTTGTTGGTCTCAGGCGTTTGGGTTTCCAGATTTGGAGATGGATATCTCCGATTTACACAAAGTAGAGCTGGACATTTTGAAATTGGATGGTTGGAACTTGTGTGTGATTTCGGCCAAGTCCAATAAAGCAGCCATGGTTGTAGCTCAATTGGGCCTTATGGAGAGCTTCACTTGGAGAATGGGCATGCAGATACCTACGAAGCTATTGGGAGCAATCACGATGGACTTGCGGATCGGGCCCTACATTGATTGATTTATTTTTTATGAGTGATTCATCTGGCTGTGGGTTAAGGCTTGGTCCCCCCATGTATTTTTTTTTTAATAAAATATGGTAGATGTTCCCCGGCTTCTACCCCACTGATTTTGGTGGTTTTCCTTCCGGGATAAAAAAAAAATAATCTTTCATATATTTGAGCAATGTTACTGAATAATTTTTGTGCGTGATCAAGTTTTCTCCCTATTGGTGCAAATATTATACTACCTCCGTTCTTAAATAGTTGCAATATTAGAAAATTTTCACTATTCACGTGTTCTATTTTGACTATTTTTATTTAAAAATACTATTTTTTAAAAAATATATATAATTTAATTCTTCTCACTTTAAATTTTTAAAATCATATTTTTGAAATTTTTACAATTAGGGATTTAAATATATTGATGGTCAAAATTGTGCGTTGACAAATGTGAAAATGGAAGTGTTGCAATTAAAAGAACTGAGAAAGTACTACGTATTATTTTTGTTTCAAATTAGGACTATAAACTATGTTGTTATATTTGTCTAGAGCACCATATGTTCCGGAGACGACCAATATAATCATAAAAGTAACTTCAATCATATTTTTTCTTATTATTTCACAATTAAACGTGTAAAGTCAAAATTTACGCGTTTATTAAAGAAATTGCGTGATACATCTGATGAACAAAAAACGGAGTTACGAGACTAACATTGCACGGTACCAATTACTTCATACGGAGTGCTACGTAGTCGGTGGTATTCGATCGATCCTTTGCAATAATCCCATCAAAGGTCGACAATGCTGACAAAGTCACATACCAAAACACTTTTTTTGATACGTAATTTGTTCTCTTCTTTGTGCACCGTTATAGCCAATCACTTTATATTCCATATCGGAATAGATATACGTTGTCCATCATTGACTGGAAAGTAGATAAGCATAAGCAAATTGCAGTTTAGACTCCCTATTAATTATTGATTTCAGTGGACTATTCAACTAATTGAAAACTGGAAATTGCAAAGAGTGATTGAACGGCCCGGGGCCACTGTGTGTGTATAAAAGGAACGAGGATGAAGCAAACACATAATTCAAAACACGAACCCATTCAAACAAAAAAAATGGCAAATCTCCAAACGATGCTCACTTGTTCATCAATTCTAGCCTTTTCTTTTCTTTTCGCGGCGGTTTCCGGCTATTCCCATGAATATTGGTGTCGTCAAACCCCTTATCCTCGCCAGTGCGAGTACTATTTGAGAGATTATCCACCTATAAAGAGCAAGTCAGATTTCGTCAAAATTTCTTTGGAAGTGGCCCTTAACAACGCCAAGCAAGCTAAAGCCCACACCAAGTCCTTAGGCCCTAAATGCCACAACGTGCGTGAAAAGGCTGCATGGACGGATTGCTTAGAGCTATACGAGAACATGGTCGAGAGGATCAACACGACCGCTGATCCTCCCACCAAGTGCAGTGCATCTGATAAGCAAACTTGGCTCAGTTCCGCCTTGACCGACTTCGAGACCTGTTTGAATGGGTTCTCAGACCTAAACGTCACGGGCAACATATTGCTCGTGTTGTCGTCAAACAACGTGTCGTGTTTGATTTGCAACGGTTTAGCCCTTAACAAAGATCACACAACTTTTGATGATACTACCACGTATAGAGATGGTTTTCCGGCTTGGGTTAAGCCGGGAGACCGGAAACTGTTGCAGTCGTCATCAGCGGCGTCGCAAGCCAATATTGTGGTGGCGAAAGACGGGTCGGGGAACTATAAGACGATTAGCGAAGCTGTAGCTGCGGCGGGGAAAAGATCCGGAACCGGGAGATACGTCATATATGTGAAGGCCGGATTGTATAGTGAAAACGTGCAAATTGGGAGTAAGTTAACCAATATCATGCTACTAGGCGATGGAATTGGAAAAACAATTATCACGGGAAGCAAAAGTGTAGGAGGCGGCACAACTACCTTCAACTCGGCAACTGTTGGTAAGCAAATTATACTATCCTCATTTCCGTTTTAATCGCAACATATTAAATTTTACACTATTCACATGCTCTACTTTGACTACATTTTACGCTATTATTTTATGAAAGTTATTTTGTAAAAAAAATATTGTTCAATTCATCTCATTTCAAATTTTCAAAATCAGATTTTTAATTTTTTTTTACTAATAGAATTAAGATATAGTTACGGTCAAAGACGTGCGTTGGCAAATGTGAAATGTTGACCGTTGCAACTAAAAAAGAACGGAGAGAGTATATAGAAATTGCCCTAAACAGGAGTGAAAACGCTTTGAAATTCCAAAATAGGAGTATCATATTTTTTATTCCTTGAATAGGACGAATCTGCCAAGTTTGAGAAAAATTTCATGTTTAAAAGTCTAGTAATGCCAAACTTGGGAGAAATTCACTCGTATTTAGGGATAAAAAACATGATAATTCTATTTTGGAATATCAAAACTATTTTATCAAAAATATAATCAAAAATATTTTAAAAGTATATATTTATTAAGTTTCTCTTAAAATGTAATTAAATAAGAAGGGAAGCAAGTAGTATACAAAAAGAAACGTTCTCAACACTATATACATGTGTGTTCGTATTAACATGTGGAAGTATCAATTTAAAGCCTTTTGTTTAATCTAATCAATTTCAAATTCCTCATATTAAACCCAACAAAACCATAAAAGTACAAAGTAGACAATAAGCCAAATTGCGTAGGTCTCGTGTCGGTTCAATATAAACTACGGAGTATGAGTTGCTACGGAGTATATAATACCGGAGTATATTCTAATATTCCACCGACATAGTATATATACCATTGTCATTTTTGTAATACACAGTATTACATTCTCCGGTCCCAAATTGTTTTGAAAAGTCAGTATTATTTTTCATCAATGTTAAAATTAAATTCTTCCTACTAATAGTTAATTCAATTTTAGTAATTAAAACTTACATATTCAGAAATTACATTAAAATTTCTATATATTTATCAAATCCAAATTAAATTTTATTGAAAATTTATATCCTAATTTAGTGAACAAAATAATTTTGTTTGACCCAAACAAATAAATCTTTTAACTCAATTTGATACGAAGGAAATATGAGTTTTTACTATTTTTTTATTAAATTATAAAGTTTAAATTAAAAATTAGTTTACTAAAAATCATTATTCAAAATTTGTTAAATATTGACATAGAAATTCAAAGATAAGGAAGTTTGGGATAGGGAGTACGGAGTATATAAGATCGTGAACTTAATTATCCCTTCATTTCCACATGTTAATACGAACACACATGTATATATATAGTGTTGAGAACGTTTCTTTTTGTATACTACTTGCATGCTTCCCTTTTTATTTAATTACTTTTCAAGAGAAATTAATAAATTTATACTTTTATAATAATATTTTTAATAAAAAATATTTTTGATTATATATTTTTATATTATCAAAATTATCGTATATAAATATATAATCGGTAAAGTTAAATATATTTTATGTCGAAAAAATAGTAAAATACTCTTTATTACTTGAAAAGTCAAATTTAGCCAGATGAAAATAGAGGAAAGTGTGTTTCTTTTTGTATACTACTCCGTAGTATGTTTAGTGTAATTAACTCTATGCAATCTGCAATTTGTTTTTGTTTTAGCTGTGGAGGGAGATGGATTTATTGGTCAAGGAATAACATTCAGAAACACCGCCGGAGTTGCGAACCACCAGGCGGTTGCCCTAAGGTCCGGCTCCGATCTCTCGGTGTTCTACCAGTGCAGCTTCGAAGGGTACCAAGACACTCTCTATGTTTACTCTGATCGACAGTTCTACCGGAATTGCGACATTTACGGGACGGTAGACTTCATATTCGGTAACGCCGCCGTCGTCATCCAGAATTGCAACATCTATGCCCGAAACCCTCCTGCCGGGACCAACACGATCACCGCCCAGGGCCGGACCGACCCGAACCAGAACACCGGAATATCCATCCACGACAGCACAGTCGCGGCAGCTTCTGGCCTGTCGGGATCCGCGAAGACGTACCTCGGACGGCCGTGGAAGCAATACTCCCGAACCGTGTTCATGAAGACTTCCCTGGGTAGCTTGATTGCTCCGGCGGGGTGGTTGCCGTGGAGCGGGACGTTTGCTCTGAGCACTCTCTACTACGGCGAGTATGCCAATACCGGGGCGGGGGCGTCGACGAGCAACCGAGTGAAATGGGCCGGGTATCACGTGATCACTTCCGCAACGGAGGCTTCCAAGTTCACCGTCGGCAACTTCATCGGCGGTGGGTCGTGGTTGCCCGCCACCAAAGTGCCGTTCACTTCTGGCCTCTAAGCTCTAAATTAAAACGGCGTTACAGATGCATGAACTTTTTTCGCATAGTGTCGTCCGATCCCTATTTTTCGTATTAATGTTGTATACAGAATATTTAATATCGGAAATTGCAAAACGTCTGAATATCTAGTACCCAGTACGACGTATATATTCTCGTCGAGTGTATATATACTTTGATATTTCAAAGTATCGGAAATAAATTCTAATATAAATTTCTTACATCGTCTTACATAAAATATTGGACAAAAGCTTGTCTAAAAAAATTATTGGATAAAAGTATATACCCCGTATTAATTGTTGTTGTATACTATACTAACCAATTCCAATGTGGTCACTACACATTAATTGAATTTTTTGTGTTGTCAATTGCTAGTAATTAATTTGATATAGATCGATTTTTCGTTATTTCTAAAATATATTGTAATTAAAACATGTGAGGATATATATGTTAGGATATATATACGATAGTATGAGTTAATTATTAAAATAGGAATAAAAATCACTCACTTTGTACAAATACGAATTAAAAGTTAACTATGTTTTCATAGGACTAATTATGTGTGTCTTTCACAAATATACCCATATAGCTATTGAAATGTTTTAATTCATATTAAAATAATAAAAAACAATAAAAATTCGTAAAAAATACTTAAAAAATAATAAAAATATTTCGATAATAATAATTTATTTATTTATTTTCAAAAAAAAATAAAATAAAAAATAAAAAACTCAAAAAAAATCACCGCCGCCTATGCACCACCACCTCCAGTCACCAGGGGAAAAAATGCCAAGTTCATTACGATCGTCATATTTTCAAATATGTTGGCAGAAAACAATGAAAATGTTGGCATTCTCAAATAGAAATATGTCATGTTTTTGGAATTTTCAGAAGAAAAAATGACAGTTTTTAGGAAAAATGACATTTTTTTCACCGGCCAGAGATGGTGGTGCAGGGAGGTAGTAGAGGCGGTTGGAAAGGCATCCATATATTTTTTAATTTTTTTAATGGAGATTTACTATTTTTTATTAATTTTCAAAAAAAAAATAAAAAAAAAAACTTATTTTTTTTTATTTTATAAATTTTTTATTTATTTTTCTACGAATTTTTGAATTTTTTTGAATTTATTATGAATTAAACATTTAATTAACTCATATTTAAAGGAAGGGTAAGAATGGAATGAAAAAATATGTATGTTTCCAATATGACTAATATGGTCCTATTTTGAAATTTCTATAAGTTACTGTTTGAATTTTAAGCTGAAATTTTATGGATATAATCTAATTAAACATGATAAAATTAATCATGCTCATAAAATTTCATAAAATAGGTATGTTTCCAATATGACTAATATGATCCTATTTTGAAATTTCTATAAGTTACTGTTTGATTTCTTAATTGTTAATTGTTATCTAAACATGATAATTCTTATGATCTTTTCAATTGTATCAGTATCGTATGATAGTATAAAAATTGGAAAAATAATTTTTTTCCTTATATCTATTTTTTAGTCGATGTTTTTTTAAATTTTACATATGCAATATTAGTACTATGTGAAAGATCGTAACAATGAAAACTTTTGATAATTTTATTATAAAATCGGATTAAAATGAAAAAATAAAACAATTACGAAATGATAAAGAACTATCTTGACACATACTCCCTTCGTCTTGAAATAATTGTCATGCTTTCCTTTTCGGTCCGTCCCGAAATAATTGTCTTACTTTGAAACTTTCCTTATTTGGTAAACAAATCTATACAAAACAGTGTCAAACAGTGCCAAACAGTGTCGCTACAGTGCCAAACAGTGTCGCCACAGTGCCAAATAGTGTCGCTATAGTGTCAAACAGTGTCGCTACAGTGTGAAGTCAACTTCATTTTCTTAATCTGTGTGAGGGTCAAAACAAGACGATTAATTCGGGACGGAGGGAGTAATATGCAATTAGGGTGGGGTGAACATCACTTTCTCAAAAGAGGTGAACAAAATTAGTTTCACTCTTTGAGTATCTTCAATGCAAAAATGTGAACGACGCATACGTGAATGAGAGATAGCCAATTAAATAACAACAAATAGAATATTGCTCTCCTTATTTGAACGGTCTTAATATGTTTGTAATAAGTGTTTCTCCATAATATCAAACAAAATGTATAAATGTAAACATTGTGCTTGACGTTGTTGAGAAAATTATACCAATAACATATAAGACCATGGAAATAATGGAAGAAAAATGTCATAAGTTTAATCTTTTGTATCTATCTCTTACTTCCTCCGGTTCTAAAAAAGGTTCACAGTTTGACTTCACACAAATTAAGAAAATAAATTTGACTTTACTGTGGAGTGCACTGTTTGGCACTATTTGGATACTGTTTGGCACTGTTTGACACTGTTTGACATTGTTTTGGACTGTTTTGGTGTAGATAATTTACCATATAAGGAAATAAGAAGAAATGTGAAGTTAATTTCGGACTTTCCAAAAAGGAATACGGGAAGTTGTTTGAGAACAGGAAGAAATATATGATAGATATGCACCGTTCATATTGGAGCATACCCTCACAAGAATATGTAGTACAACCAAAGTACGTACTAAGTAGTACTCGGTACTTATTTGACTATGTTTCCTGTTTATTGAATTTTAAAAAAAGGCATGTGTTGCTTTTTCAGTTTTCCCTATCAAATTGATTGCATCTATTCAAGTTCTCAAAAAAACAATGTCTCAAAGGTGTACCGTGTACGGTGTACCCCAACCCAGACCACTATGGAACTATCTGTTCAATAATGTATGCACTCACAATGGGTTAATTAGAATTCACACAAAATACAAAAAGATAAAAAAATAGTTTTTGATCGTCTGCCCTCGAATCAGACTCAGAGTCTATCACATCCAAAAAAGCAATATGACTTGTTGATGTCATAATGAGCTTAACTGAATCGATGACGGATGCAATAAACATTTCATCACCCAACCTAAACTCTAGAGTTCTGCTAGTAGAAATAAAGAAAACAATCAAAGACAACATTCAGTTCGAACCGAAAAATAAAAATAAGGGCAGGATAATTAAAATAAATTCAAACTTCAAACAACATCTTCCAAACCCTAATCACATGATTCCTTCGCGACGGCGGTTCAAGAGGGAGACAGACTGGCAGTACTGCATCTTCTTCATCTCTTTTCTTCTTATTCATAACATTCTCTGCTACTGAGCAATCGAAAGTGTAGGAGAAGATGTCGTGTAGCAAAGTGTCGTACTTGTTAACAATGGCCTCAATGACTTCTTCTTGGCGTGTTGAGCAGTTGAAGACGAATCTACAAACAAACAAAAAAGCGTGCGGGATCCACCGTCCACGAGGCTGAAATCTCCTAGCCGCACAAAACCTAGGTCGGCCGACGAAAAAGCACAGTTGAAATTCTCTGTCCGCACAAGCTTAATATGGCTGCAGGCGGAAAATTAAAGGCTACGCGAGGGAAAGGCCACAGGTCTACACTTTGAGGTGTTGAGAGATTCAATTAATAACTTCGAGCATACAATTGGCAAAACTCACCTCTAATAGTCTAATAGATCGATAAACCTGTAACATTAGCATAATTCGAATAACTTGTTTTAACATACAGGGTATACAAGTACTACGTATCATTGAAACGTAATGCCATCATTAATTACGGCATTATAAAACCATAATAATGTCATTAGGATATTGTAAAAATGTCGTCATAAACCATATTGGATGCATTTTGCTGATATCGAGCTAGATGTCTAGTATTTAAATCGCTATATGTCTATATCACATTTTAAGTCATGTTGTTCTAATCAAGCCAAAACTTTCCTCTTCAAACAATAATTTGACTAGTAGGCGAAACAATTTTATACATGTATAAAAGAAAAATTCTAGGTGTACAAAATGTGTACTTTTTTGTACACCCACTCATTTCCTGTGTACACATGCAATTCTTTAAAAAATGTAATATTTATCTACCAAATGCCTGGGTAAATAGACGATGTACAATTTGCGTACAAATTTTGTGTGCACTAAGAATGATCTTGTATAAAAAAAATAAGTATGATGATTGATGAAGGGTCCTAGCTAAAATTTTGATTTTAGATTGATCATTGATGTGACTAGTATTGATCGAACCAACAGCGCCAAAGGGAAAAATGGGAACTTAACTTAGAGGGGTAATTATTTCCTATTGAAAAAGGAAGATAGAAAGGAGCAGACATATATTGGATCAAAAGAAAGACTAGAGATGGAGAGAGAAGAAGGGGCAGGAATGTAGAATTAAAGAATCTAAGAACTCATTAGGAATTAGAGGGTGAAAGATAAGAAGGGTCTGGAGGGAGGGACTAATAATATCAATCCATATGGGAGAGAAAGAGATGGAAAGGAAGATGAATGGAGTGAAAGGGATATCGAAAGTAATTAAGGAAAAGGGCTAAAGACGCTTTGAAGTTGTCACCAAATTCACATATGCCCTTAAACTTTATTTTTGTGCAAAATTTCCCTTAAATCTTTAATGAGAAGTTGTGAAAGGAGGGCAATCCACCCCTTTGTTTATCAGTGAACTAGAATTTACAATTGTTAAAGTTCTCCTTTGACTACTGTGCCATTTGTTTAAAGGTGAACTTGAATTTGTGACTAAACTTATTGTGTATTACTTATATGGTCATGAAAATGCAAAATTTAATATATAATATAGTTTCTAATAATTAATAGTAGAGTGAATGTGATTATATTTAAGACAAAGGGTTATTCCCTGAATATTACTAAATTAGGATTGGCTTCCAAAAATGTGACCACTTTTACATTTGAATAAAAATGTGACTAAAAAGGTCATATTCATGTCATTGACAGATTTTAATGTCACTATTCAATTCTAATGTCACTATCAAATATCAATGTCGCCACCGTCGAGGTCACTATCGCCACCGCTCGTATCACTGTAGTCACCGCCTGTGTCACTGTAGTCATCGCACGTGTCACTGTAGCCACCGCCGGTCGGTGTCACTGTAGTCACCGCCCGTGTCACTGACGCTGTGAAACATGTCACTCTAATCTTCCCATGGTTTTTTCTGACAAATTTGTCCCACCAGCACCGCGACACGCCACCTCGCCGGTGTCTGCCGACCACTGCCCCTACTCTTACACAGTCCCTTGTCTCACGCTCTCACCCAACCCAGTGGCTTACACAGCCCCCTCCCTTGTGTCAACCCAGCCCCTATCCCTTCGACACCACCATGCCCAATCCCCAACCCCTCTGGGACCACCACCAACATGCCTCCTATCCCTCCTACTCCCCCCAAGCACTGCTACCGGTGGGCGTAGCTCAACTAGTAGCGAGTGAGTGTCACAAGGGTTAGGTCCCGGGTTCGAATCTCGGTAACTATGATGAGGGATTACTATGCTAAAATATGCATAAGGCCTCTGCAAGTGCCGTGGAACAGAGCCCCACTCTCTGTCTGTTAGATCGAGATTATAGTCCAATTTACATCCTCCCAACGTACCGTCCGGTCGAGGTTGGAGGGGCCCTCAGGGATGGAGTGTCATCCCCTTTTTTGGGAAAGACCTGGTCAGCAACCCAATGCAAATCAGTAGGTTTATCTTTAGAGTAGTAACCGTTGTTGTGTACTCATTTTCAAAAGTTTTTAGAGCAAAAAATATCACATTAAGGGGTCGCTTAGTACAGAGAATGTCAGTGACATCACTAATCCAGCAAGCTTGCAACCCAAAATTTCTATAATCAACGAAGGAGATGAAATCGGCGCCCACCCTCTTCTATCTACACACATGCAACCGCCCCAGTTTCCCTAACAACCACCGCCCATCTAAAGACCCACCGTCGTTTACTCACTACC